TCACAACTAGCTAATATACCAACGATTCAACTGCTTTTGATCCTTTGCGTTCTACATTAAGGTCCGGCATTATATGAACAACCGTGTTATATTCTATCGTACTATATAGTCTATCTTCAATTACTAAAAGAAATACTATAGTCAAATTTCGATCCTCGTATCAATGGTCCGATCAAACATAGAAGATGGCCTATGATCAGGCAATGTATGCATGATTTATCTTTTTATTTATAACATGGAATCGATGAAGAGAAAGGCAAATTAATGATGAGAGAATTCAAATAAATGGCCATGAACGGGGATCATATAGAAAATAGATTATATAGATTGTGCCATTATATTAGTGTGTCTTTTACCATAACTTCCGTTTGGAAAAGATCTAGGTAAAGCGTTTAAACCACGTGGACATAGGATAAAACTTATCACAAAGCATCTAACACTCTCAATAACCGCTTGCATGGAAAATATTGTCCAAAAAGTCCTAAGCGTATTGTACGGCAGTCAATTCAGTCTTAAACCTTTCAGTGCCAATTTAATCCGAAATGTATTGACAATAAGCCAATTTAGTTCTTCTGGCCAAGTTTAATGGGAAATCTCTGACGTGGCGGTCCAGTCAACGTCAGTCGCCCTAAGTAACATGGTCGGCGCTGGCGTGGACATTGTTTGCCTTCTTTATCATATGATAGATATGAAGAGAAAGACAAACTAATGGGGTTTGAAGAGGGATTCCCTCCAATTCCATGTGACGACAGAATCATACAGTAGAGATGAAGAGAAAAGCAAATCAATGGGGGTTTGTAGAGGATTCCCTCCAATTCCATGTGATGACAGAAGAAATTTGTCATTCCGATCATCATATTCACGAAATGAAAAAAATATAGATACGTGTAGAATCCTTGATCGAAGGAAACTCGCTTCTAAGTAGTGAGTTACAAATATAAATATCATTCACAATTTCTTTTGGTTGAGTTTACAGGGAGTGACGTCTATATTTAAAAGAGGCTTCGTTTCGACAAAGTTTCCAGGGATAGAAAAATATAGTTCTTCAACCAAGTCAATTATGTTAATGTTGAATATAAAGAAAACAAAGCGACAAATCTACACTATCACCGTTATAAGGGCGAAACTTACGATAGTTTCATGTAATTAATGATCTCTCATGCACGGATGTCCATCTTCCAAAGATGATTATGTTAGAAGACCTAATGCGATAATATTCAAAAGATTTAAGACAACTTAGGTGGGTGTACGAAAAACAAATTTCTTGCCTGAACACGCAACCAGGTGGATGTATCGAAACCTTAAAGTGATGGGGCTTGAAGGGCTTCTCCATCCTTCGTCTAGTTAACCTTAAACGAGGCGCTTTCCTTGAATTTTTGGTGTTTGGTTAAAAATTAACCTCACTAAAAGAATGGAGCTTTCACTCTTGCTAGGGCCTTTGCGGCCTGTCCCCATCCCATGGGGCGGGTTCCACAGATGTATTCTTTATTTTAATGTGTATATGCCCGCACGCCTCACACTTCCATTTCTTTCTTAATCTTTTTCTTCCCTAAAAAGAGGGAATACCGTCTGGAAATTTTACTTTCCGGTAATCACAAGATCCGAATGAGAACTAAGATAGAGCCTCAAGGATGTGCTCAGATCTGAATATGAGCTTTCTTTCTTCCTCCCATTATCTCTCCCCTTTTTCTCCTTTATCATATTTTTGACGTTCCCAATATTCTTTCCTCAAAAGAAGAAAAAGAAGATAGATGTGTCGCTTTTTTTAGGTGAGAAAGAGCCTTCTTTGTCCATCAAGTTGCCAGGGACAACGATTTGGATAATGAAAAGAAATTATAGGATCTCTAGGGCTTAATTTAAAGCAGAATCAGATGCATCTGTCGGTTTCTCGACATAATCTGGTCAATAAGGACGGATGCAATGATACATTTTCAACTCTAATTGTTTCTAATTCCTAGAGTTGGTGTCTAGAACAACTTGTCTTTTGACTAGCACATGTGATTTCCCACGTCGGTGAGCACATGTGACGAGCTGCTATATTAGCCTTTCATTTACAGCTGCAATAGGAACGCTCCATGTATGCATAAGCAGGATTAAGGAAACTTACGTATGTCTCTAAATGTCGGAATCGAGCCAAAAGTGTTAAAAGTTGAGTCGAAAATTGATTCGAGCGAAAATAATAGACGAAATCGGCGATTGATTCATGCTAGAAAGAATTAGGTTAGTTATAGGATGGGAAAATGACACAGATGTTCCATGAACTTTTACCCAATGTGTAATGTGATTCTTGAACTTTTAATTTATTCAATGCAGTCCTTAAACTTTAGACTAATGTGCAATGTCGTCCCTGAACGTTCAATTTGTTCAATGTGGTCCTGTCTCAATCTAGTCCTTAAATTATATGAAAATATTCAATATTATCATTCCATTAATTCAAGTTCAGTGACAATATTGAACATTTTCATATAATCCAGGGATCGGATTGCACATGTACCAAAAGTTCAGGGACCACATTGAACAAATTAAAAATTAATGGACCACGTTATATACTGGGTCAAAGTTCGAAGATTGTATGTATCATTATCCGTATAGGAATTGTACGTTAGATAGGTAAGTAACGCAAATTCTCTAAGTATGCATGGTCAATAGGAGGGCGTGCGATTAACTCCACATGCGTGAAAACCGAAAAGATGAGGAGGCTTCTCTCTCGTTTCTTCCTTTTTCTTCAATTTAGAGATGCAAAAAGGACAAAGCATCGCAAAGGATCAGATCAGAAGGATTGAGAAAAATGCCTAACTGATGTGACAAAAACCTATTTAGGGTTTTCTTTTTTCCAAAGGAGCGGGTGTACATCAAGCTTTGCAAGAAAATAAACGGAAAGAACTAGAGTCTCCTAAAACCGCCCCATGATTTAATGGGTCTACGAAATTCAAAAGAAAGAGGGATCATTGGATTGGAAACTTAGAACAGATGAAATCACTTTCCTTTTCTTTCTAGTCAAAAAAAAAAAGAACAGATTAAATTAGCTTAATAATAGTGAAAATATTACGTGAATTTATTTTCAGTCTCTATTCATAGTTCTAATGATTCGAAGTACTTGATAGTAAAATAAAAGTAGAATCCGTAATACTAAATACAAACCACACGAACGTTAAAACCCTAGTTCACTCTCTCCGGATACGAAAACGAATTAAATTAAACTTGCTTTTCTTGATATTGGCAGACTGGGAATTTCCTAATTTCTCTTGTCATTTTCCCTGTTTTGCTCAATAATTTTGTCCCCATATTATCTAGCAAAGATAAGCTTGATATTGTTAGGATTAGTCATATAAAGATAACGAAATAGATAATAACGCGAGGAAGAGAAATCGAGATTCCCAGTTCACTTTTAAACTAATGTTATGTCCAGCAAAATGAATCATGCCCTAAATCGAGACACAAAGCGAGACTCTTGCGCTTTTCTATTGATGAATTGTATGAACGTCACCTCAACATTGTTTGACAATATTCATGTACGGGGATTAGGTGGAAAAACAAACGATTTTCTTCGTCATGATGGACCTTTCAACATAGAAAAATCTGCAATCTGGACTTTTGGATTAACGTGCGTTGGATCATGTTGTTACGTTCACATATGGTCCCATCTTTCGACTCTGTCAGGTGGACCGTCGATCGGATCAAACCATTTTCGTGAAGCTGAAAATCTATCATTCACTATCCCATTTTTGTTTGAATCATTCACTCGAGGATAGCACGATGGCCTATCACCGCCGCTTGCATGGCTAACTCATGCCCATATTGCACGTAATGAAGTCCCTCACGTACCAAAACAACAGAAGGAGTCCCCTCATAACCATATCATATAGAGACATTGTTCTCTCACTATGATAAGTCGGACTCTTATTACCATTGACTTTTAGGTTTATGCGAGAAATTCTTTCGATAAATTTTTTATGGTTATTGGACTTAATTGCCGTAACTATCACAAAAGTGTGAAGAAACGAAACGATTCAAGTAACAAATAAAATTACGGAAATAAAACACGAAGATAGCGGATTTTCTTGGATCTACATGTGCCTACTCTAGGAGAAGAGATCGACTGAGTAGTTCCACTATAACCGACAAACATAAGATTACAATCACTCAAAAAACGATCATGCTCAAGTGTTTCACAATTCTAGATAACATCTGAATTGACAAAAATCAATCATGAAAGAGGAGTATTTTCCATGCTCTTGACTCTTTTGGATGACGGTTCCCAAAATCTCTCGAGGGTTTTCAAAAGGTTCTCATCTAAAATAAACTTTAAATGCAGGGTTTTAACAAGTTTAGATGTGGGCCGCATTGAGAGCTAGACACTTGCCAAAATCGGCCCGGGCACCCGGCTACTACCCTAAAAAACACAATAGCTACTATGCCTTGTCCAGGAGCTTGCCCGGTGGCCTAAACAGTCCAGGCGCTACCTGGGCTGTTTCCTTGTATCTCCGATCATTCGCCTCTGTCTCCATGCCTCCGTAAATACTTATGTCCCGAAAATCACTAGTTTGTGTCGATTCCAAATCAAACGGAATTAACTTTTAGCCATAATCAACATTAACGGTATGAAATTGCTAACTCCGGAGCAAACAAGACTAACACATAGATTAACAAGAATGGGACATGAAGGCTTTCGGGACTGTAGGCTTGAGTTTTCATCCCATGTTAGGCAATTATTAATATGTCATCAGAACTTAAAATATCCGCCAAACATGAATGATTTCTTGAAATTAGAAGTCTGTATATGTTAATATTTCTTGAACTTGACTGTGTTAAATGAATATTGTGATTATTTCTTTCGAATGAACGATCCAAAACTCGGGTTATTCTAGAAGGAAACGAATCTCCTTAATTCCATCTGGATGGACGTGGGGCTTACGTACTTTCATTACATTAAGGTCGACGTACCCTGTGATCAAGCTGCGACTTTGAATTTGACTTGTCGTAAAGAAGAAAGGAGGCGATTAAGGGAAAACACGGCATTTATCTTATTATATGATCTGATCAGCCTCGGAAATTTTCACAGAGGCTGAAAGCTCAAAGTCATTCATACGACAAGCCCTCTACGAATAAGCCAAAGTACATGAAAACAAAGAAAACCATCTATATGTTTATTTATTCTTTCTCCAGCTCAGTTGGCCAAAGCAAACGCTGAAATTCTCTCGCTTTTTCCTTCTCTGTATAGAGATTCTTCGGCATCCATTTTCTTTATTTCGTCGGTAAGGACTCACCGTGTCCTGCAATACAAGAAGTACACAACTTCTTCGTCAGTACGACTTATATCAGCTTTCTCTCGTCCCTTTGATTACACTGGACGTGATTGAATGGTAAAAACCAGGCGGATATTACGTAAAACATGCACGAGTAAGAAAAATTAACAAAGAAGCGATAGGATTGAGTCAGCACAAATTGTTGTATGCCATTGCAGGAATGAGCATCAACTTTAAGTGTAATGAGCGATCAATAGCGCAAACTCTTAAAGCAAGCTTACCTTTTGAGAGTATTTCGACAGTCAACCTCTAGTAGTGATGAGGAGGAGGAGGTGATGCATAAGTGTAAGGGTGGGTTGGTGGCTTGTGGACGGGTGGTGGAGGTGGTGGAGACTTGTAAACCGGAGGAGGAGGAGGAGTCTTGTGCTTGTAGGGCTTCTCATGAGGAGGCGGTGGGGGCGGGGACTTGTACTTATATGGTTTCTTTGGTGGAGGTGGAGAGTAAGTTGGAGGAGGTGGTGGGGGGTACTTGTGAACTGGTGGAGGTGGAGGTGGCGGCGGAGACTTGTACTTGTATGGCTTCTTGGGTGGAGGTGGAGAGTAAACCGGCGGAGGTGGTGGTGGGGACTTGTACTTGTAGGGCTTCTTCGGTGGCGGTGGCGGAGGAGACTTGTAAATGGGAGGTGGAGGGGGTGGAGAGTATACTGGTGGAGGTGGTGGAGGAGACTTGTACTCGTAAGGCTTCTTGGGTGGTGGTGGAGGAGGAGACTCGGGCACCGGAGGTGGTGGTGGAGGAGACTTGTAAACGTAGGGCTTCTTGGGAGGAGGTGGCGGCAGAGACTTGGGGACGGGCGGTGGAGGGGGAGATTTGTATTTGTAAGGGTGCTCCTTAGGAGGAGGCGGTGGAGATTTGTGAGGCTTGTAGGGTTTCACATGAGGAGGGGGCGGAGGGGGGGATTTGTAGGCTGGCGGAGGAGGGGAGTGCACCGGAGGAGGTGGCGATGTGTAGTGATAGGGATGAGTCGGAGGCGGCGGGGATGGCGGGGGAGGAGATTTCTTGGGAGGTGGAGGAGAATAGTAACCGTAGTTTGCTGAAGACTCTAGGGGCAAGCTAAGAGAGACTAGTAACACTAGAAGAGTGGAAATGAGAGGGGCCATCTTAGCCATTTTGGCTAGAGAAAGGGCTTTTGTTGTGCTATGGATGGGTGCCCCCTCCCCCTTTATATAGCTTTTGCATTTACTCTTTTAACACTAGGAAATGTGGTAAAAAAAAAGGAGTTGCATTGGGAAAATAATGTTTCAAATTAAGTTAATGGGAAATCCGGATGATGAGGTTTGAATGTGGGTTGTCATCGATATGTTGGGACAAATTTGACTTTGGTAGGTAGGTATTGTTTAGTCTTCCCGTGGATCTTGATCTGCTATTGCTAGAGGCTGCAAGCTAAGCAAAGAGAGGAAAGAGAGTTATAGTCAAGACTATGCTCCATTAGTTTACTCCTTTTCGTTCTTTAATGTATAGGAAATGAGGAATAGTTCAAACACACCGTCCTCTCTCACTCTCTCCCCAACATGTTTCTACCTCGAGATCTTAGAAAAGACGCGTGTTTTGCCTAACTTTTCACGATTTTGTCGCATCAGGGATGAGGCGGCTCAATCCCCCCTCTCTCTCTCTCTCTCTCTCTCTCAACGAGAACAGGAAATTATTCAAAAAAATTCTAAACCTATTATCTTATAATTGTGTTAATTGAATCATGAACCTTTTTCATGTTTTGCCGATTGAGTCCATCCGATTAATTTTGGCTAAAAATCGCTGATGTGGACACCCGCCATCCTACGTGACACGGCCGGCGCTGACGTGGACAATGACCAATAATATTTTAATATTTTCTTTTTTATATTTTTCCCTTTTTTCTTTTCTTCTCTTTTCCTTCTTTACTGTTTTTCTTCTTTTAGGCTCCGTTCGTTTGGCGGAAAATGTTTTTCAGGAAAATATTTTCTGGATTTTCCAGTGTTCGGTGGGCAGAAAATAACTTCCCACGGAAAACATTTTCCCTCCCATGGGCAACTTTGCCTTCACTTTGGGGGAAAATGATTTCCTCTTTTCACAAAGAGGAAATCATTTTCCCCAAAGTGAAGGCAAAGTTGCCCATGGAGGGAAAATGTTTTCTGTGGGAGAGGAAGTTGATTGCCACCGCCGGCCGCCGCCGCCGGTCGCTGTCGCCGATCGACGGCCGCGGTCGCCGTCGCCGATCGACGGCCGCCGGTCGTCGGTCGCCGATCGCCACCCCCGTCGTCGGTCGTCGGCCGCCGTCGGTCGCCGGCCGTTGGTCGCCGCCCGCCGCCGCCGATTGTCGCCGGTTGCCGATCGCCGCCCGCTGCCGCCGCCGCCGCCGACCGCCGCCGGTTGCCGATCGCCGCCGTCGGTCGCCGGACGCCGCCGGATCGGCGGTCGCCGAACACCAGAAAATATTTTCCGAAACTTTTTCAGATTTTAGCCGTACACCAGAAAATTGTGTTCCAGGAAAACATTTTTCGGGAAAATGACTTCCGGGAAAATATTTTTCAAAAGGAGAATATTTTCCGCCAAACAAACGGAGCATTAATAGTGCAATGATATTCTGATCTATATACACTTAAAGCATTTAATTAAGCTACGAAATTATATGCGGTAATGAACATTTACTAAGAAACTTGCGCAATCGCCTCGGATCCCAACTTACATTGCATAATAAGTAAAGATTACTCGCACGATCGGCTTTACACTGTCGTGCATAAAGACAAAGAGCCAAATCGTCAGTGCACGCCAATAATTCCCACCAGCTCATCTACAACTGAAGTTTAACTCTAAGAAGAGAGAGGTGCGTAATTTTCATGATTAGAGCTTCCCCGAGTTTTTCAACAAAAGGTCAACAACGCAAATTCCACACGCTCAAGACAAAATGGAAAGATTGATTGCTTGGCAATTTCTTAACCTTTACAGTAATGTTCGCCTGATCCAGCAGCTGGAAGCTTCTGATTTGGACAGAAACTGCCCTACGAGGTTCAACAAATCCAAAGTGCTTGATAACCTTTCCTTAGTGAATTGATGAAATGATTGCCCATTACCGTGACCCAAATACTTTAATGTCCCCATTGTCCAGCATAACCAACCATATTAATTTCGAGTATAGATGCTCTACAATGAAGTAGATTAATAGGACATATCATTCTCTTCAAATAGCGTTAGGATCATCCATTTCATATACGAGAACCTTTTTTCAAACACAAACCCCGGAAACACATGATGGGCATAAACTTAGCCGGCCATTGCTGGCTTTAGCAGGTACATTTTGTCATCAATACCGTTACGTGTTTACAGCGTGCACATTATTGAAGTTATTTTAACACAACAGAGCGATTCAAACTGCAGCAAGCTGGCGATCGGTCATGACCATTAAGGCACTGTGTAACCTGCAAAAGCCAAAGCAATGGAAAATTAAGAAATCTGGTCCTCGGATATCATGACAACTGCAATGAAGTGAGATGGTATAAATGCGCAAGAAGTTACAAAGGAGATAAGGAGAAAAAGACGGTCCATCCCAAAATACGACCATCTTCGTCAGAGTATTCGATCAAGCTAGATTGCTTAGACACGATCAGCACCATGTTAACACAAGAAAGGGTGACCATCCCATAGGATTAGCTGAAGAAAAGGTTGCGGCATTGAATAATTTACAACATGGTAACATCCAACGCTGGATGCATCTGGAGATAAAAGTTTCCAAACAATAACTCTCCTGCAGTAAGCGAAAGAAGGCAAAACTGACCTCCACACTTGTACCCAATAGGCCGATCAGAAAGGTTACAGCGTTTCGGAATGGTGACAGCGACATCAAGCTTAATTCCTGCCATTTTGGCCGTATTTGACAGCATAGCAGCGCATAGGCAGCTTGGGTTCTGCCCTATTCTCTTCACTTGAGCACAGCAGTTGCTCGACACGGATACAGTCTCATCCTGCGCCGCAGACATGCAAGGGGCCAGCTTAAAAGCCTCCCTATCGGGTGTTGAAGACTTGCCGCATTCACCGGCCCCATACACCGTCTGGAGACCTGAAATGGCCAAAATTGCAAAAAACACCAGAACACTAATTTGCTTCATTGGAGCTTCCATATCTTGAACTATGCATGACGAGTCTCACCCTGCGAGCTTTTATTAGAAACAAAAAGTTATCACATGTGTAAACCACAAAGAAAGTGGTGATAGCACTATGGAAGATTGATTTTTGTTTATTCGACACCTACTCCTTCAGATATGCAAATATAGATCCACTCATATTGTTTAACCCAGCGAAGACAAACGAGATAAAGTGACTTATCATCAAAGTCTTTGCTGCCATTCTGTTGCCTTTCCCATCCGGAGTGGGAAAAATAAGCTTTTGATGAGCAGCTGCCAGCATAGCAAGCCACCACATCAAGTACTCCTCAAGCTACCCTACATAGTGTGCAAGACACATGCGTTTGTTTTTGCAATATTTCATTGAATAGAAAGTCAAGTTAACATTATCATCCTATGCAATCAATATAAAATTATTTTAGGCATACTCAAAACTACTGGCACGAGCACAACCGATGGCAAGATTCTAAAACGAAAAAGTGTGTTTGTTCAGTCCAATTTTAGGTAATGCGCCTTATCCTTTGGACTACACAACTGGGAATTGATTTTGAAGCCAGACCAGCAGAATGTAGAGCTCTGCAAATTAGAGTGCAACTATGTTTCAACAACCAGCATCCGCATTGAACTTTATTGTTCATACATAGTTCTTTTGAATCTAACAAGACTCGAGGATCAATTACAAAGCTTTAACACAAGGAAACAAGATTGTTCTGAGACAAAGAGGGAAGACAACTATGCGAGTTTGGACAGAGGGTCTTTCGATAACTGTACCATGCCTTAAAGTGATTGTTAATTAAATCTAATTCAACTGATCACAAGGATGCCAAGCAATGAATCCTCAACTGCAACAATATCAGTCGGCTACACCAAATCCCCCACTATCAACTTACGTCATTATCTTTTTCCATGGATTCACACTCGTTCTTCCTAGCATCTTCGGTTGCATCTACAACTTTTTCCACGAAACCTTTTTCTTTTATCACTCGACATATGAGCTGCATTGAATTGGCAAATAAATGGTTTACTGCTTTTTGTACCATTAGCAAACCCTTAACAAAATGCATCTAAAGTTCCCAACGAACAGTCCAACAAGTGGCTAGCAATGCAGCCTCCACTCACATTTCCCTCTGTTGGATAATCATATACCTCGAATGACAGAAGCATGACTAATCCTTCAAAATGCCAAAAAGTTCACAAACTCATGCTTTTTCCCTGGAAGCTCCCAATACAGTCCACTAACAGAGATCACACGTATTCCTATCTGAAGTCCTTCTAGAAGACACGGAACTCTCCCCAGTTCATGTAGATAAACAACTGATTAAGTATAACTGATGTAAAACTATTATAACAGCCACTAATGAGACCAATTGATTAACAAAATTAACCTTATATACCACTGGAGAAGCACAGGACAATAACAAGAGCTCAAGATGCACACGCGACTGCGTTGCAGGCATTCCCCTGTTCGCAGATCAGAGCACAATTCACTTGGATATGATTTCGAAACTTCTGCGACTGTATAAGTCCACACAAGAATCCAGATGGATGTCAATTAGACCATTCAATAGAAGCATAAGTGGCAGTCGATTTCCGCATTTCAGTGATTGCATCAACATATTTCTAAGTAATTGTCAAGATAGGACACTATCAGCTCAGTATAGAGCCATATCGCTCGACCACCTCATTCTCACAACATACAGAAGAAGCACCCATTCCCCTAAAAGGCCCCCTACTCTCTGCAATCCATATCCATCACCACGACGAACTATCCAAACCCCTATCGAGTAAAAGCATACAAGACAATGCATACGTATACGAAAAGCCCCAAGGGGACGAAAATCAGGAGCGGCACGACCGCCGCGAAGCTGTGCGTGCTCCCGCAAGCCAGAGTCCCGAGCTTGATCTGAACTACATTGACCAGGGCCAGCATCAGGAACACGGATCCGCAGACCGACCCGACACCGGACGCCAACATCCCGACCCGCAGAAGATTCCGATTGATCCGAGCGATCAATTCCGCAGGGTGGTAGCTCGGAGACCGCGTGATCCGAATAGCCTGATAGACAAAGTGAAAAATTGAAACTTTATCCTCTTTTCTCATCAACATCACTGGACACTCGATGTCAAAGCGTCGAGCGTGAGGCGCGAGAGAAGACTAAAAAGCGCAGAACAAGAAGACGGAGAACCACTTCCACCTGCTTGAGGGTGAGAGCGACCAAGCTGGAGAAGAGGAAGGAGCTGAAGGAGTAGACGTGGAAGGCGACGAGGTCGCGCTTGACGGAGGCGCCAGGGGCGCACCGGGGGTCCGTGTTCAGGGTGTTGTTCGGGTCCCACGGGTTCCACGCCAGCCCGACGAAGACGGCGAGGGTGAAGATGGAGTTCACGTTCACCACGCCGTCGAGCGCCGTCACCTGGATGCTGGTGCCGGCGGCCATCGCGGGTGATCAGGGAGGGCGGCGAAGGGCTCGAAGGTGAAGAAGAAGGGGGGTCGTGAGCTCTGCTGCTGGGAAGGTAAAGGTGTGCGCAGATGGCTATTTGACCGACATTAGTGTCCGTGTTTCTTGTGGGCTAAACAAAGAAAGAAAGAAAGGAGACAGGGTTGTTGTCCTCCGTACTCGGTAGGGGTGAAGGAAACTCAATATTCTTTTTTGGGATAAGTGCCATAGAAATGCAATAAGCCCCGAAACTTTTAAAAAATACGATTGAATTCGAAAATTTGCACCAAAATGTAATTGAGTCCTATAACTTTTACAAAATTCAATCAAGTTCTAAAACTTGTCCAATCAAGTCCTTCTTTGGATTGCATTTTTTGAAAGTTTTAGGACTCAATTACACTTTCGTTACAATTTTTAGGACTTGATTACATTTTTTAAAGTTTTAGGACTCGATTGCATTTTCGTGATAAGTTTTAAGACTTGATTGCATGTTTTGAAATTTTTAGAACTCAATTGCACTTTCGTGATAAATTTTGGGACTTCTAATACACTCATTCTTTTTTTCCTTTAGGATTTTTCTTGCCATTTAATCTTGGTAAATTAATGTGAAACGAAAGACGAAAGAAAAAAAAAGAAATAATTTACATAAATATACACTATCACTAGAAAATCAACTTTGTGCAGGGATTTGGGCTACAGGAAAACCAAATAATTCAGCTCCTTGCCTTTTAACAATGCTGCAACGGCAGATACACAAAGAATGCTTTGTCTCTTTTATACTTTTTAACTTTACAAGTCGTGTCAAATGGTGGGCATTTGGTCTAGTGGTATGATTCTCGCTTAGGGTGCGAGAGGTCCCGAGTTCAATTCTCGGAATGCCCCCTGCGTTTTTTTTCTCTTTCTTTTGCCGTCATTTTCAGGATGAAGCGTATGAAGGAGGACAAACCAAAGAAAAACTCGTTCGTCAATAAAACTAGACATAATGAATATTTCATCTCAAGTGACACAGAACAGACGCAAGAGCTCTTTTCATGCAAATGAATAGTTTTGTTAATCACACTAGTTCAGGACACAAGTAAAGAAAGAACCCAACAACTAAAAGCTAGTATAGAGCCTATGGTAATCGCACCAAATTACAGTGGATCGCTGTAATTTCCTCAAGGAACTCAAGCAAGTAAGCTGGTTTAGCCTTTCTTGCACTCCAAGTCTGTGGAACTTGTGCTCAGTACCGGGCAAGACACGTCAGTTCCGTTGCCCGATAACTTAGGCTTCGTGTCCACACCGAGATAATTTGTGAGGACCCGTTTAACTCCGAAACCACGGCGGGGAGGCTTGCCATTGTTATTGTTGTTGCCGATAAAAGGAGTCCTCTCTCCCCTTATAGGGCTAATCAGGGGCGCCGGGGAAAAGCTTGGAGTGCTAAAAGCTGATGCATAGGGAGTGCTTGAGAGATGCACCGAGTATGGCATGGATAGCTTCTTCTTCTGGGCTATCACGTTAACACCAGAGATCGGAGATAATTTGTCTGCATGTCTGGTCAAGTCATCTACATAGAGCACGTCATCTATACGTGCAACAATATTGAACGCCAGACTCTCCAACACTCTTGAGTAGCTCTCAAGAATGGATTTCCCAAGATCCTGGAAAGTTTCAAGGCTTATTATTAGCAAAATAGCTCCTGATCAACAAAATTGGGAAGCTAAAGAAAGGTTTGAATTTCGCTACAGAGAAGAGAGATCAGAGATCATCATCACCTTATTGAATTGGATCTTGCTAGTGTCTAATGTAGTTTGTGCAAGACATGGAAACCGCTGCTTCAAGCAAAGCAGGAGTCTTTCAGCTTTTTCTGCCAACAGTTCTCTCTTATCTCCGTCTAACATTAGGTCTTTAACCATTTCCCAAGATGTCTTCGTCGTGGATCGGTTTGGATGAGTTGGTGGTCTAGGGTGAGATCTTCTTCGCCATACATACATTGAGGCTTCTACTCGGTTTGCAATTTCTAGCGCAACATGCTCAGAAGACAGGTCAAGGCAATCAAGCAGGCATTCTGCAGAGAATTGGTCTGAAGTGATGTATCGATGAATGACGTCCCCCAGAGAAGTTCTCCCATGCTGAATATAAAACCAGTCAATATGAGACCATCGGGGCATGATATAGCAACAAACCAAATAAACATGCAGTTGGGTGTGTTATCAAGAAAGATCAGTTTGGTTATTTAGGACGAAGAACCAAAGAAGCTGCATCAGTATATTTTCAGACCTTCGGAAGAGCTTCCAGATATGAGTCCGGAACTTCCATTTCTGCTAAGGTCATGCTGTTTATGGCCATTGCGGCCTTCAATATTTGGCTTGTGCATTCACGAGTGTGAGTTAACTGCTTTCTCGAATTTTCACTGAGACCACCCGGAGGGACACGAGGCACTGGTAGCCACCACTTTTCCTCTTGCCGTTGAATAGTCCTCCGAAAAGAGGCCGACCCTTCTGCATCTGAGGCTACTATGCCTTGATCAACGTACCAGAATTCTGTATCTGTGAAACTATCTAATATTTCCTGTTGAATGCAAAGGATTCAAGCATAAGTATAGTTATTTCCTCATATTTTTTTTTTTTTTGGTAAGGGTTATTTCCTCATATTTGATGTATGATGCTCCCAATTATCAAAGAAATTCATATCTTACAAGAAGCATGTTGTCCAGTTTACGAAGAGCCGGAAGATTGATAAAAATATCCGCTCTGGGCCTGCAAGTCATGACCTAAACATGAAAGAAAAGCAGTATGAGAGGAAAATTATGATTTATAGGATCCAAAATACTCTTTTCTCCTCCACCATCTGCAATTCTTGTTCCAAGTCCAAATAACTGGCCATAAATGGACGTACCAAGGAACAAGAACAAAGTTGATTAATGAACTTAATTTTTCCAACACCAGACCATTAGAATTAAATAGAAAGTCATGTACTCGAGTACCATAATGACTGCATTCAACTACATGCGATTCTCAAATGAAGTTTGCTAAATAAAGTTCCTATATTTTGCCTAGTCGCCAGACAGAGCAAAGAACTGGGATCTACTAACTGGGCTATCAATTCTTCTTTTGAACACCAAGAAAGAGACCTTAAATCTGTCGATTTTGTTGCCAGAAAGTTACAATCACAAGTATATAAAACCCAAAAACTTTAACAGCTGGATTGACCTCACTGAATATGACTACTCGGGTGTTTCGAACCCAGTAGCAGAAATTTGAGTCTCTTTCCCTCAATCTCTAAGTTAACAAGATCGAAAACAATTACACAAGCATTAGAGAATAGAGTAGAATCAACATACTTCAAGCTTGCTACCATCAGGAAATGTTTGACAAGAGGGTATCAATTCGACGATGTGGTCCGTGACGCAAAGAAGCCACTCCATCTCTCTTTTCCACATTGTTTTCTTTTCGGAAGGCAAGCGTTCTAATCTCCAAAGTTGCCCAAAAATAGTTCCTGCCTCATATGAGAATAAAATAATTAAACGCACCAAAATTGGTGACGACAGACCTCAAGGAAATAACTTGAAGAAAAAAGAAAACACAGAGTGATGTCTCATTACAAGTATTGAAGACAAAAATAGAAATAGGCATACCGCATAAATTGGTGACGGCATTCGAAATCGCCAAAGCAGTGCAAACACCTTTTCCAGAGCCTGACATGTCCTCACCAAGCAACAATTTTGCATATCTCTCCTTCATCATGTCCAGCTCTAATCAAGTTTACACAAAACCATTAAACCTGAGGTGGGTAAGCACTAGCCACCAAATCGAAGTAAAGATAGAGAATTTAGGAAATTTCCTCTGCTCTGTTCAAGTGTCATGGCAACAGATAGTAGCTAAATAAAGTCCAAAGTTTGAATTTTGAATTCTCGACTTTTTTCTTCACTACCTCAGCAATGAGATAACAAAAGCACCATAAAGAACAAAAGCGTAAAAAGGGGATTGAAAAAACTTCGGAACTAAACCAACCTGAAAGTTTTGAGCCCAATTTCTTTAATTTCGAATCTTCATCGTCCACATCCTTTTTGCCTTCATCGTCCTTGACGGAGGAAACAGAGTTCCGGTGCAAATCAGCCTTTCCGATGGGCCAACCCAGCGGAGCAGGCGACGAGCGATCTCTCTCCTTCTCTTTCGCCTTCGTTGCTTCCTCGGCCGAAGAGCTCTCGGAGCTCGACCTGGTCGAGCTCAAGCTGCAGTCTCTGGACTCGGTGCTCGACTCGGTCCCGGAGTCGTCCCGACCGTTCTTGCTCTTTCTCGAGCTTTCGCTCTTCTTCGCCGAACTTCCCATTTCAAACGTGTTAAAAGGAAACAAGACAAGAGCGAGAAAAGAGTGAGGCGACGACTATAACGGAGAGCGACGGAGAGGAATGGTGCAGGGTTCACGAGATGGGTCGCAGCTACTTCCTTTTCAAAAAGGGATCTTGAGCGGAAGGCGAGGGAGAATGCGAGGTCGGATTAATGGAGTTCATGGTTTTTCCGAAGCTGGGTCTTGGGTTTTGACTGCAGCCATGTCCGCTTATGTTGCTGATGCTCCCTCTCTCTCTCTCTCTCTCTCTCTCTCTCTCTCATCTGTGTATGGAAAATTTTGATTTTTAAAGCTCTGAGGAGAGAGAAAGGAGGAGGGTAACTGCCGAGTGCCCACATGCGACCCCCAACGTCTCTCTTTCTCTTTCAATCTCGGATTTACCTTAGGGAGTACGTTCAAATTATTAATAAACAATTTGCAGACACACCCCCATGGATAACATCAGACACTGCGGTTTCCGTTCTTTCTGTCTCCACTTCCTCGGGCATAAAAGGTGGGGAAATCATGTTGCGTTAAGAACAAATAATATTAGGTATGCGCATATAAGAAAATGTTTCTTTCCGCTATTGTGGCATCATCAGATTGATAAATGCGGGCACCGTTTTAATTCAACCGACCAATTATCGTAGTGGAGGCAATAGCCAGTAGGTTCTTGAACACCCTCCTCAGACGAATTCGAGATGATATAACAGGAAGAAAACGAAAAGCTTTTTGTTTTTCGCCTTTCCGCGAAAGAAGAGGAAAAATGCGAGAATTTGAGGAAGAGAGTGGGGGAGCAAAGGTCATTTGACAGGAGCACTAGCGTTCGGTGTCCCAACTCCACAGATTTACTGTGCTCTTCATGCTGTACTGTTACTACTTTCACCTACTCGAGACCCACCGCAGTGTTTGAATCGAGGGCATTGAGTTGAGAGGGTGTGCAAGTTCAGGATCAGAAGGGAGTGAGTCACTGCCTTACTGTTCGCATCCTGAGGCAACTTCATTCGTGCAGGCCTAAAAAACCTACCTCGAGATGTAGATTTTGCGGCATTGTCTCTCTGTCTGGTGGCCCGAACATGGTGTTGTTTAATTCCTATTGCGGTGTTGGCTCTTTCATTTTGAATCCGATGGAGCTTGGATAAATCTGGAAATATAGGGATGGATATACAATAAGGTGACGGTGCGAATATAGTGCGATGAATATAGGAGCTCAAAGTCAGAGTGGGATAAAAAAATATTATTCTAATCGATTAAAATCTAACATAACCGACGGTCGCATCGCATTTTTAAGGTGATGACGAGGGCATCGTGATGGGCATTGGAGATCATCTCCCTCTTACATCAAACGTCCTCGTCTCCCGATCCTTTCATGGTATCTTTTGATGTGGCTTTGATCTCGGGTTTTTTTTTAACACCAGAATCTACTAAGGGTGAGCACTGGGATTGGATTGAACCGAACTAGTCCGGTTCCTAGTTCCTAAAATTTGGAATTGGTGATTGTCGGTTCGATTCCCTATTCCAGGTGTGATTGATCATACTTTTTTTCTTTCCACCGAAATTTTCATTTATTAAAGATCAGAAACACTAAATAATGAGAGTTTAAACTATGCAACAATACTTCCGATTTTGTAGGAATAGAAAAAAAAAAAAAAAGACATCATCGCTAGTTCTTGGACCCACTAGGGAATCGGACCGGACCGATCAGTTTGGTTTTAGGACTAGATAAGCCGATTCCCAATTCCACAAAATGGGAATCGACCATTTTGATCCGGTTCCCTATTCTAGGATGGGAATCGATTCTCTCTTAAACCGATCTCCCCTACATACTGTATCATCGAAGATGAGATCTCATGCCGAGAAATTCGGAAACTCCCTAAGCATGCACTAATTGATAACGAAAGGAACTCCAATAACTTTGCAAGCAATGGGAGTTTGGCACCAAACCAGAACTTCCAAAAAGGGGAGAAGGGTCCGCAAAAGTTCTCGCAACGGCTAACGCGATGGAGTGGTTGACGATTTGCCGGCATTCAAAAAAAAAAAAAAGAGAGAGAAAGGAAAACAGAAAGGAAGAGGAGGAGGAGGGCATGCTAATGGGTAGCCGTTTGAGACTGCGAAAGGCAACGGCCGATTGACTTTTTAGCAGTGGAATTATTATGGAATCGCTTTTGAAGGGGGGCGATCGTGAACCCATTCAAATTGCGCCTCTGCGCACACATTATTCAAATGTCCCTATGTTTTGATGTGATGCCATAATTGCGAAATCGACGGGTCACGTGCACCGAGGAAGGGCCAAAACCACGGCGGAATCCTCAGGACCACCTCGGGCCGGTCCATCCGACTCGTGGGCTCTCCCGTTGCCCCGCAATTCCTGTGAATTTTTTGTTCGTTTCCAATCGGGCAGGGCGTGTCCCGTTTGATTTCGTTGATTGTTTTTATATTCTTGCACCGGACAAATCCGGGCTTATATTTTGCAATTTGTACACGCTGACGACGCGACGGTAGAAGGTTGTCTTGGATCTTTGTCTGGTGGACTTTGCAGATGGCAAGACATTCTCCTAAAAAAACGCCGCATTTCGTACGTTTTGTCTAGATTAATTGGAGATAGATAGATCGGATAAGTTCTATAAGGTGCCGGTTGAATTTTTTGAGGTTGGTAACCTTTGTTTATAATATGAGATGGATATGTACTCACCTTATTCGGAGAGTTACTTAATTGGAATATGCAGAGTTTGTTATATCTCTCTATAGACATACTGCGAAAAGTGATTATTTATCACTCCAAATAAATTATTATTTATCGACGTGAAACAGAACAAGGATGGTTGCTGTTCAAGAACACGAGAAGGGGTGGGAAAATCTTTTAATCCATGCATCTGTTTAAACTATTTGGAAAAATGAGTCGCATATTCAAAACGTCGGTAGAATTTTCCATGCAATAATAAAATCCAATTTAGTAAAACATAAGTTATCATTTCGTATCGACAATCTAAGGAATTATCGTAGCTTATGCTTTTAAAACTACAAAAAATATTTGTCATTCCGGTCAATTTTGATCGGAAATCGCTGACGTAAACAATTTTTGTAATTTTTGAATATTTTATCTTCTTTGTGGCTAGAGAGGGTTGTTGGTGACCCTCGCCAGCCACTGGGCCATTGGCGAGGCCCTCGCTCAGATCTGGGCGAGGAGGTCACAGCCGGTGGTGCCGTGAAGGTCCTCACTCGCAACCGACGGGGCTGTGAAGGCCTTAAGCGAGGGCCTTTGCGGCCCTGCCGATTGCAAGCGAGGTGTCTGTCGCTCAGATTTGGCGAGGGCCTTATTAACACCTAAATTTCGGCATCTCATTTAGTAATTTATTGTATAGAAAATTAGGGATTGATAATTTACCCTAAAACAAAAATATTTCCATTAAATAGCATAACATATAGACATTAGGTGCATTTGCACTAATAGGATTTATTGCAACATATTTTTCTTTTTTATTATAATATTTTTTTTAAAAAGGGGAAAAGAAGGCGAAATCGGGCCGGGGCCGGCCCGACCCCCTTCTTTCATTTCCCATCTCTTTATCCGCTAGGCCCAGCCTAGCTCCTTTCTCTTTCTTTCTTCACCGGCCCGCCCTGCTCTTCCGCTCCCTCTCTTTCCCTCACGCTCTCCGCAGCACATTCAAGGACAGAAGCAGAGCAGGTGTAGAGAGGGAAGCTGAGGGACAGGGCAGGAGCAGCTCTGGCCGGACGTTTCCAACCAGCAGCAAGTCCCACCTGCCCCAATCAACGGTACAGGGCAGGTGGATCGTTCCACTGGCTAAGAGAGAGAGAGAGAGAGAACAGGGGGGACAGGAAAGAATAGGAGATTCGAGGAAAGACAGAGGCGACCAAGAAAGGAGCGAGAGAGGGAGAGAGTCGAAAATTGGTCCCGGTAGAGCGTCGTCCGGCCGTCTTTGACACAAACTAGCGCTCCCTAGCTGGCACTTCCGAACCTGCGGCCCCCTTCTTCCACGGCGTTCGATTTTTGGTAAGGGGAGTTTGGATTCGATTCGCCGTTTTCCCGAGGATCTCAGCTTGGCGACACCGAGACTAATACAAAAAGAGGTACAACTGCGAATCAAGAAAGAGACACTCAGAAGAAAATACTTCTTTGCTTTTTTTATTTATCTAACAAAAGACCTTTAGATAGGTCACTGATAATAACTGGATAACTACAATATAACAATAAAAGAAACCAATTCCTAAATCTAGGACGGTAACATAAAATCCTAACAAACCAAACAACTTTGACTTATTCAAAAGAAATTAAATTGATTGATTCTAGCCAACATTCTCTCCCTTAAACTGATGTTGTAGACATTCAGTTAAAAAAAAAAAAACATAGATATCCTCCCTCAGATTGAATTATCTATCGAGCAAACACCAAGCAATCTTCTTAGCTTCAGAAATGTAGGCAACTTGAGGGGTTTAGTGAATATGTCCACAACTTGCTCGTCACTTCTGTAGAAAATAAGATCAATTGCTTCATCTTTCGTAAGATCCCTCAAGAAGTGATACTTCACATCTATATGTTTGCTTCTACCATATAGAACAGGATTTTTGGAGAGTTTAATGACTGAACTACTGTCACAGTAAATTGAAGTTGCTCCTTGTTGCTTGAACTGAAGTTCTTCAAGAATCTTCTTTAGCCAAATAGCTGGACAGGCACATGAAGTTGCAATTATGAACTCAACTTCGGTTGTTGATAAAGTAACAATTGGTTGCTTCTTTGAGGACCATGACACAGCTCCTGAACCCAGTATAAAAACATATCCTGAAGTGCTTCTTTTATCATTTAGATCCCCAGCATAATCACTATCTGTAAAGCCAAATAAATCTGACTTCTCTTCCTTCTTATAAAACAGCCCATAAGCAACAGTACCTTGCAAGTATCGAAAAATTCTTTTTGCAGTATTGAGATGCATCTGTCTTGGGTATTCCATGTACCTACTAATGAAACTCACAGCACGCATTATATCAGGTTGTGTTGCAGTCAAGTACATCAAGCTTCCCACAATTTGCTTGTAACGGGTGCTGTCCACCTTTCTTCCTTTAGGATCTTTCAAAAGCTTCAAACCAAACTCAGTTGGTATACTCACAGAATTGCAATTCTTTGTCTGAAACCTATCTAAAATTTCTTGAACATATTTCTTTTGAGAAATAAAAGTCCCCGCTATTGATTGAGTCACTTCAATGCCCAAAAAGTAATGCATCATCCCAAGATCAATCATATCAAATTCAACCATCATAGACTTCTTAAACTTGTCAAACATGGCATGATCATTTCCGGTAAAAATAAGATCATCCACGTATAAGCACACAATAAAGAACTTTCCTCCATCACCTATTTTAATAAAAAGAGTATGATCATATGGACATTTTTTTAAAACCTTCCTTAAAAAAATAAGCATCAATGCGACTATACCAAGCCCGCGGAGCTTGTTTTAGCCCATATAATGCTTTTTTTCAGTTTATATACCTTATGTTCACTGCCAGGCTTCACATATCCCGCAGGTTGATCAACAAATACCTATTCTTGCAGGTCACTATGCAAAAATGTTGATTTCACGTCCAATTGGAAGATAGGCCATGAATTTTGAGCTGCCAATGCAATCACCAACCTTATTGTATCATGCCGTGCAACAGGTGCAAAGACTTCTTTATAATCCACATCAAACTCTTGCTTATAGCCTTTAGCTACTAAGCGTGCCTTGTACTTCTCAACTTTGCCGTTTGCTTTCAACTTTATCTTGTAAACCCACTTGATACCAATTGTTTTATGTCCTCTAGGAAGATTTGCCAACTCCCAAGTATTGTTTCTTTTGATGGCTACAATTTCTTCATCCATCACATCTCGCCAACTTGATTGTTTTATAGCGACATCGAAAGTTGTAGGATCATAATCAGAAAATAGAGCAAATTGTGTAAGAGGGTCTTCAGATTGATCAGTTTCAGTTACCTCATAATCAGTCATCCATGCAGGTCTCCTTCTAACACGTTGTGGCCGTTGTTCAGCTACAGATGGACTTTGAGCATCTTCTGGGGAAGTTTCAATGATTGTTGGCAGCTGCACATTCTCCATAGGTTGTTGTCTTTCCTCATCATAATCAAAGTCTGCTGGAATATGATCTCCAGCACTACTCTCACTCCATGACCAGGTTCGATCTTCATCAAAGATTACATCACGATTGATAATGATTTTTTTTTGGTGATAGGATCATAAAGCTTATAAGCTTTTGATTGATCACTAATGCCAAGAAAAATGCATTTTTCTCCCTTGTCATCTAGCTTTTTTCTCTTCTAGTCTGGAACATGGGCATAAGCAACACACCCAAAAATTCTGAAATGGTCTACTACTGGTCTTTGGCCGCTCCATGCTTCCTCTGGTGTCATATTTTGAACAGCAAGAGTGGAACTTCTATTCAAAATATGAATGTTCCAATTGACTGCTTCGGGCCAAAAGCTTTTCGGAATGCCACTTGTTGTTAAAAGGCTTCGTACCATATTCAAAATAGTGTGATTCTTCCTTTCACAAACACTGTTTTGTTGTGGCGTATAGGTTACCGTAAGTTGCCTCTTGATTCCATGCATCTTACAAAAATTTACAAATTCATGTGAATTGTATTCTCCTCCATGGTTAGTGTGAAGAACTTTTATTGGGTTGCCAACTTCTTTTTCTACAAGTGCTTTATAACTTTTAAAGGCTACAAAAGCCTCAGATTTTTCCTGCAAAAAGTAAACCCAAATTTTCCAGCTACAGTTATGTATCTTTTACCTCCATTGGAAGATGGATTTATCGGCCTGCAAATGTCCGAATGAAGGATCTCCAAAGTTTTCCTTGCTCTCCACGATTTTCCTTGTGGAAATTGACTAGGTGGTGTTTACTAACAACACATTTTTCACAAATTCAAGAAGGATCTGTAATTTGAGAAAGACCAGTCACCATGTGCTTTTAATGTAGTGTTCTTAGCCCACCAAAAATGAGATGTCCATAACAAAAATGGCATAACCAAGCTTCATCTTTTGATCTCACGGAGAAGCATGAATGATGGATTTATCGGCCCGCAAATGTCCTAATGAAGGAGCTTAAAAGTCTTCCTTGCTCTCCATGATTTTCCTTGTGGAAATCGACTACGGTGTTGTTTACTAGCATCACATTTTTCACAAATTTGAGAAGGAGCTGTAATTTGAGGAAGACTAGTCACTATGTTCTTTTGATGTAGTGATCTTAGCCCACCAAAAATGAGATGTCCATAATGAAAATGCCATGACTAAGCCTCATCATTTGATCTCACGGAGAAGCATGAATGGTTAGTATTGTGGAGATATAACGGAAACATTCGTTTCTCCGTCATATTGACTTGGGCAATTAAGCCCAATTTTTCATCCTATATTTTGCAAATGCCTCCTTTGATAGAGATCTCATATCCCTTCTCTTGTAGTTGGCCAGCACTTAGAAAATTGGTCTTTAACTTAGAGACATAAAAAACATTTGAGATGGTTTGCATAGAATTTCCCTTTGTGTAAATTGTTACCTTCCCTTTTCCCCTAACAAAGATGGTGGAATTATCTCCAAACTTCACAGTGTTGCGGAAAGATTCATCCAAATCATAGAACACATTTTTATCTCCACTCGTGTGGTTGCTATAGCCAATGTTGAAGTACCACATGTTTGGTTGAGTTTCTTCCTTCACGTGACACACCATCAAAAGTGACATTTCTTCTTCTTTTTCTGCAAAGTTAGTTCTTTCTCCACTTTGCCTATTCAAATTAGTTCAACATTCTGATTTGTAATGGCCATACTTGTGACATCTGAAACACTATATTGGATTTGTGTGCTGACTTTGTTTTGTAACTAGTTGAATGCCAACCTCCACGACCTCTTCCTTTTCCTTGAGGATCATAATACTAATTATTGTTAGATTTTTTATTTGAGCTGCTGCGATCATTGTTTCGTTTGCCTTTGCCTCTTCCATGCTCACCGCACCATCTTTCTCTATTTGTATTAGATGATGATGAAAAATTGTTTTCAGTTGAAGCCTTCAACGCTTGCTCCTCCATCTCTTGCAGTTGGAATTTTTGTTCATGAACCAATAAGGAACCCTGCAATTCATCAATTGAAAGTTCTTTGATATCCTTAGCTTCTTCTATGGAACAGACAACAATGTTGAATTTTGTTGTCAAGGATCGAAGAATTTTCTCAATTATGGTGACGTCCTCCGTCTTGTTGCCATGAATCCACATCTTATTGACAATTGCCACTGTCCGGGAAAAATAGTCTATAACCGACTCTCCCAATTTCATTCGTAGCATTTCGAACTGTTTGAAGCTGCTGCCTCTTTGCTCTTGTTGATCCTTGATATTTCTTCTTCATGGAGTCCCAAATTTGCTTGGACATGTCCTTGCAAAGAATTGTTTTCAAGATTTATCTATCAATAGATAATTTTTAGCCTTAAGATCTTTCAGCTTTAATGCATCTAGATATGATTTTTGCATTGTTGACAACACAGCTCCTTCCTCTGGTTCTGCAACTCCAGAGGTAACAACATGCCAATACTCCTTAGACCTAAGGAAATTTTCCATCGCGCTCTAATGATCAGAGTGACCATCAAAACGCGAGATAGTTGATTGCACAAATATTCTTGAGGCCATCAATTTCAACTGCTGTCGCAAGAGTAAAAACGGAATAGAGCTACTGTTGTATTCTCACGGACCCTCTTTCTTTTTGGCTCTCAACCTTTTGTGACTCACTTTTTTTTTACGTGTTTGAACTTTCAACACTCTCTACGAAAACATGCTCTAATACCACTAATACAAAAAGACGCACAACCGCGAATAAAGAAAGAGACACTCAAAGGAAAATACTTCTCTGCTGTTTTATTTATCTGATAAAAGACCTTTAAATAAGCCACTGATAACAGCTGGATAATTACAAGATAACAACAAAAGAAACCAATTCCTAAAATCTAGACGGTAACATATCACAAACCAAACAACTTTGACTTATTCTAAAGATATTAAATTGACTGATTTTAGCCCATAGAGACGGGCGGCTATAGTCTAATTCGTGTCGGGATCGTCTTCCGGCCGTCGTCACCAAGCCGGGTAGGAATTTCATTGTTGACCCACGTTTTGCCTCTTTCTTGCTATGTTTCCCCAGTTTTGGGCATGCTAGGCCGAAGTTTGCGGCCATCAGGCTCACGCGAACTCCGGCCCCCTTCCGTTCTTCATTTGGCTATCGTGTGTGTTGTTGTTTGTCTATCGAGAGCCCTGGCCCCAAGTCGAGTCCCAGTTGAGCCGAGAACCCTTTGTTTCGCCAGTGCACTCCAACTGTTTGATAGAATGCCTCGGTTAGTTTTATTTCTAATTCTTCGTTTGTCGCCGAATCGGCGTTCTCATGTGATGCTCGCCCTCCTCTATTGCCGTGTTCTTATGTTTGCTGCTGTTCGAGGCCTCTCGTGGTTTTCGCTCGCCTCAACCCCTCCCCTGATGTCCAGTCGTGAGGTATGGCCTTCAGCCGGTGGCGCAAAGCCGGCCAATCGTGGCGGTCTTGGCGTGAGTATTGAGAGGTGGCTGGTTGAGGCTAGGCGTGGAGTCAAGTGTGGCTATCCTAGTCTTGGCCGGCGGAGGTGGCTGGCCAGACAGAGGCCAAGCCCTCGACCTGGGTGGGCCAAGGCGGCGCCGGAATGGGCGTGCGACCAGGCCGAGACGAGTGGCGCCGTTCGTTTCGGCTGTCGACGGCAACCAAGAAAGAGTCGGGTCGTGATGCAGGTGAGCTCGGGTTAGTCGGGTCGAACCTGGGCCGAGCGGTTGGGTCAGTTGATGGCTTGCCCGCATGGGCTGGTATGCGTGTAGGCCGGGCCGGGCGAGGGCCTTTCTTCGTTTGGGCCAGTCTATTTTGGTTGCATGTTAAGGCCTATTTTTCATTGGGCTAGGTTGATGTCCTGGGCCGGGCTTGGTTTTTGGCTTAGTTTTTATGGGGTTGCCGTACTTGGCTCATTTACTAAGCCTAGTCCAGTTGTGGATGGGGAGGTTCGACTCGGGTCCGTCCATTGTTTTAATATTATAATATTATATAATTATTTTAATATTAAAAATATTTTGAAATTTAAAAATTCAATTTTTTTTTTATTTTTTTAAATTAGGGAAAAGCTTATGATATAGATTTTGAGTAGTTTTCTTCTAAAATGTGGTCAAAATTGAACAAGCTCTTAAGGCTTTACAATATGATGCTGTTTATTCTTAAAGATAAATGCTAGGTCGCTATTTGCGC